TTCATCTTCTATGCTTGAGCAAGCAATATAATTTAATTTTCCTTAAATTTGTAGAAGGTTCAATAGATTTATATGTTGTTTGTCTTATTTTAAATTATTTTGATAATTTATTTAGATATTTAAAAGTGTATCTTTTAAATGATATATTTATGACTCTTGATTTATATCGAATGGTAAATTAAACTCTATGATTAAAGTCAACAATTTAAGAAATTTTATCTCATTGGAGTATTAATTAATTTTTATTCCATGATTGAATTCAACTATTTTGATTAAATTAATAGATATTCAATTTCATGTTTAAAATTGTTTGTATTTGATATCCACGTTTCTTGATCTAACAATACTAGGCTATGAGCTCCACTTTTAATATCTTTTCCATGTGGAGGAGGTGTACAAGCCTCCTGATTATATAAGACCAACTTGATAGCCCCAAAGAGAGCATCACCTTCGCTACATGGGAGTAACCATTTATACCCCCATTAGCCTTAGAAATTTAGACCCACGTTAGTTGTAGAGTTTATGAGTTATGTCAATCATAAAGTTTATGTCTCATCTTCGCTTGGTAGTGAGGCTCTGTTGGATGAGTCAACCAAAAGTTGTTAATGTAAGAACTGGGTTTTGAGGTTAAATTGAATCGGCCCCAACTAAAATAGCGAGAAAGCAGGCAAGTCGAGCAGACGGAGTAATGGGCCTCACATGAGCACGGGGGCACCTGGCCAAACCAGATCAGACAATCGAGTAAGGAAATGAGTATGAGGTGAAAAACAATAACTCTTCATCAGAGATTACTCTGATTCACTCACCCCAGTAGAATCAATCTATAGCGAATGAAAGCAACAACCGAGATAAAGCTGTGTCGAGAGGCAGAAGAAGGAGAAGGAAGATAGGTTTGTCAACTTTATTCTTCTTCTTTTATTTTATTTTTTATTTTTATTTTTTTTTGCAAATATTGTCTATTATTTTAAACCTAAGAAAGGACCAATGTCTCCTTTAAAAACAAAGGAAGGAAATTGGGAGAGAAATAAAAGGAAATTTGGAAGAAAATAATTTTTGTAAAGGAAGAAAAAGAGAGCGTCCATTTCTTAACACGGGGAATAAGTAAGTTACTTAAATTTCATTTTATTTCCTATTAAATTTAGAAAAAAAAAAAGAGTAAATGCATAATTTTAGGTTTATTTAAATAATAAAATATAATTGTTTCACAAGAATTAATCAAATTGGTGAGTCTCAATTCAAAAAGAAAAGAATGAATCTTTAATTTAGATAATTAATTTTGATTAATTTTAGATATTTCAGAAGATTATGAATTTTGTTCAATATATGAAATTTTAGAAGCTTTTAATACTACAGAAATGATATTTGATGCATTTGAAGTTATCCTCAAAGATGTCAAATCAATTCAATGTTATATTGATAACATTCAATTTTTTAAAGTTGTTTAGCAGTAATTAATGCAATTAAATGTCATTTCTAACAGTGAATAACAATACAGGAAAATTACTTATTACTAGAGGACAAAATTTCCCAATAGTCTTGCACTTTCGACAAATTTTTGGCAGATATTCATATGACACTAATCCGCGCGTCGGAAAGTCTTTTCTAACTAAACATTTCTGCCAGAAATATTTCTGGTGGATTTTTCGATTTAATTCTAGCAAAAAAATGAAGGAAGCATATCATTTTCTTCGAATGAATTTTGACGATATATCCGCGCAATATTTTTGTCTTAATTATTATGCCAGAATTATTGGAGGAATAATCTGCCGCCCTATTCTGCCTTAATACCATCGACAAATAAAATCGGTGGATTATCCGTCGGAAATATTAATGTAATGAATATGTCAAAAATTTACATTCATTTTGTCGCATCGTATTTTTCGTCTGATTTTGGTGGAGAATTCGCCAAAAACCTGCAGCATAAACAAAAAAAAAAAAGTCTTATCTCTTAGGAAATTGATTTCTACAATACAACTTGCATACAAAAAATTCAATAATATATTCACTCAGACATACACCTCTAATTTGAAATATTACCAAATATTGAATATAAATATATAAGCATAAACATACATTCTAAATTACTTAACTAAATAGTTTAAAATGAAATTCAAAGTTTATTTGTTTGAAATTACACAAATGTCAAAAAATAAATAAGTACATATGTCCAAAATAACTATAGAACATTTAATCTAAATCAATCTCCTCCTCTGTTGAATCTACCTTATTTCCATGGAACTATTTCTGCATTTTTCACATTTCATCCAACAACTGAGTTTGTTGTACATGCATCAGCTATTGCATATACCAATCAGCTTTTGATTTCCTGACCTGCTCTATCTAGGCTATAAGGGCAACCGCATATTGTCTATATATGGACTCATGGGAACTTGCTGAGAAGCTAGAGCCACCAGATGTGTGCCCCTCGCATGTATTGACTTGCAAGCCTAAATCATAAACCCTATCATATTGCATTCCTCTTATCGCTTGCGACCAAATGCGGTAGTTATAATATTTTGTTGATCCGTTAAAAGAATCCTCACATGTTACAGTCTGGCCATCCCGAAACCGTATATACTCCTCCTATGAAAGTTAATAAAAATGTAAGCAATTTTGATATGACGTCAAAAGTATTAAACTTATATACTTACGTAGATTTTCATTGCTTGCTCATCATTGATGATCCTCATGTCTTCTGTGAGTATGACTATGCAATTCAATAATGGTCGATTATTTACCTAACACCTCGTTCTGTAATAGACTTGCATTATTGTTCATATTAAAGTAAATTATTAAAATCTTTTAAAATTCCTTACCAAACGTTACATGTGTTCAGTATGTAGAACTTAACGTACCCTCAGTATAAAGAGAACAACCTATGTGTGAGACCTCGTTCCCTTACTGTTCCTCTATGATTTGGATTTTCCTCTCTGGATCGTTCGTCCGGACGATGTGGGATCGTCATGGGCCCGATCTTGCACTGTAGAAAATATGGGACCGAAGAAAGTTCTGCGGGAACGTTCGGCAGCGGACGATATTTATGTTGGTCTGATTCGTTCCCGGAGCATCTGGCGATGGCCGGAGCCATCTGCTTTATGAATAGGAAAAATCTGGTCGTATTTCGATGAGAGAGAAATCATGTTAAAATCATAAATATCTGTTTTAGAGAGAGAAGAGAAGGAAAAAGAGGAATCTTGGGTTTTGGAGGCCGCGGAGTGGCTTTTCGTCGATGCTGGGGTAGTTTGGAAGGAGAGAGGGAAAGTGTAGATGCTCATCGTAAGGATCTGACTCCGAATCCTATTTCTGTTTTCAAAGTATATTGAGAAAAAACAAATATATTTGAGCCGAGTTATGTGTGGCTGTTTTAAGTGTTTTCGTAGTCGAACTTTTGACCCGTCATTTTGATTTGACACACACGTTCTAACCAGCACAACTTTTAGCTACCTCCGCATATTAAGATATGGCAACTATTGTACATCGACTTTGAGGTGTTTTACCTCGCGACGAATTATTAGCCCGGCTACGACTACGCATGTATTAATTTATTCTAACGGCGGTTTTAATCAATAGTAAATATGCAGACCTGAACTTGATTTGATTTGGGATCTATAGAAAATACATATATAGATAAGATATAATGCTTCTTCTGATTTGGAATTTGCTGCCTTTTTGGCAGGATTTTTGTTGATATTTGATAGAGGCCGTTTAGCTCTGCCGATTTTCGTATGATTTCTGATTTGTTTGAATTGATAGATTGGGGGCATTGAATATGCCGTATGACTCATAGTATGATTGTTCCAGCTTTCTTATTATTGCTTATTGCTTGCGATTATTGCATTGATTCTTGATGCTTGATAGTTAGGCT